AAATCTAACCCTAACTTTTTTTTGCTTTTAAAATCACAGTTTATTGAAATACATATACACTTTAAAGTATTACTTTATAACTTTTATTTACACATATAGTTCGTAAATATATACTTTTAATCATAAGCTAATTCTTCAAGAACTTGTTCTGAAATTTAACAATAAGAACGATACTTCTTTATTGCAAAGTCAGCAGTCTTTCCAGAAAGTCCAAGTTCATAAGCACTTATAAATTATTCAGAACAGCAAGCAAAGCGGTGAATTTTTAATAAACTAACAAAATCTAATGCCATTGGAACAGTTTTTTTGAGGCTTTTAAAACTATAATCACAGTAAAGTCTTGCATAATATTTTATTTTAGCCCAAACAGACTCAATATAATTAAGTTCATAATGGAACTTAGGGTAAAAGATGCACATGTGTCTGGCATCTTCAATTACCTAAATTATTTATACGTATGTAAGTAATGGTTTTTAAATTTTTTTTTTTTTAACAAAAAAAAACTTATTTAATATGCATGATCTTTGAGCTACAAAGTCAGGTTGAGCTGAAAGAATACACGAAGCACAACAGTTTGGGTTGTTTGGATCAGGCTTATTTTTTTTTACATATATCACACTTTTTTATAAAGCCTGGTATCCACAAACCTCTTTCTTCAAGAACCCGTTTAATTTTCTTAGGCCTTTTTATATTAGCATTGTCTATATAGATCATTATATACTTGGAACCATTAGGCATTGTATCATCATGAAGAAGTAGTTTTTTTGTACCATCTTTCATACCCATTTGTGAGACCAAAAGAGCATCTTCAGCAAATGAACCATAATTGCTACTATTATCAAACATAAATAGAGCTATCTTGTTAGGGTGTGTTCGTTCAAATATTGGTATAGCACATTCAACTACCTGATTAACTAAATCATCGCATGTCCACCAACCATCACGATTTATGCCTAGATAGATGGCAATACCTGCTTTGGTATATTTAAGATGCATGGAATCAGGAAGTAAGTCATTTATACCAATTTCATAGTCTAAAAGTTTGAGACGCCCAATAGATTCACAAACAAAATCACTAATATGAATACTGGAGCCCTGTGATCAAAGATAGAAATCAAAAATTAGTCAAAAAAATGTTTTTAGCCAACTTACTAAAATATTAGAAATAATAATATGTATAAGATATTGGCTATGCAATGATTAATATCATGAAATTTGTTTTGTCAGAGCAAATGATTGGCTGACATGTGCTGTGTAGCGACACATTTTATCCAATCATTTGCTCTGACAGAACAAATTTTGTAATATTTATCATCGCATGATCCAATATATTATCATGCAATTATGATCATGATTTACGAGTCGTGGTTAGCTAACTGGGTTTTAATTCAGGATTGTTGTGCTTATGAAATAACATACAAAAAATTACAAGAAGAAAAAAATCTATGATCATAAGAGTTTGCATGATAACCTGGTCTATTGGGATTAGCAGAAACAAAGATTCTGCTTATTCATGTATAGTTTAGGATATTATTCATTAATTCTAGTGATATTGGTATAGTGATCAGAGATTATAGCTGATTAATACGTAATATTTTAATTAATAATTAAAAATTTTAGTTAGCTAATTAGCTAACTAAAAATGTTAGTTAATTCTGATTCTTATTAATGATTTTCTCTGTAGGCCATATTCACTTTTTGGGCTCCAATATTGTTTCACACCATTATTTGCATAAAGAGTGGTTTTATATTGGGTAATAGAAACAATTTTAGCCTCACCAGAAAGAAGATTTGGTAAGATACGATTTAATTTTTTATCTTCATATCTGGCTATTCGTTTTTGTAACCTAGCTATTTTCTACAAAAAATCATTTCTGTACTCTACCACATTTTCATATTCACGGCTATCAAAATAAATCTTTTTTGTATAAGTTTGGTATCTCCATCCAAGCAATTTTAGCCATCTACATGTAGTTGACCTGCTAATGGTTTTACTTATAACTTCAAAAGCAGACATAATATGACTAACATAACTTATAAAATTTGGAATAGATAATTTAAATTTATTTTCCTCCAAATACTGATTTATTTGATGTTAAAAACTTTTATTATGAATTAACAATTTGGTTTTTACATATTTATCATATTTTGACTTCATTAATTTTTTGTTATTCTTCAATTGATTTGCCCAGATACAAATATGCCGAGCATGCTATGGGCTTTTACCCAAACTCTTAGCCAGAAGTTCACTTGTCTTCATCTTTGTATACCCTTCATTCACAAAATGAAAAAATTGTCTTGTTGTATTGAGATTTATATCGACAGTTTTTGTTTTCAATTGTACATCTAGTGATGATAATATAGAATTATCATTATTAACACTACTGTCAAGGGTCTTATGCGATGAAGAAGCAAGTTTCGATACTGTAGGCCAATTTTTGTTGATGGGATTAGTGCCATAGGTTCGTAACTTTTGTTGGAAGCAGTATTGGTTGATTTAACTGATAATTTATTTTTCTATTTCATAGTAGCAGCTTGTCAAGCTTGTCTTGTACATTTATTTGGCTTTGGCATTTTTTTTTAATTTTATTTTTGGTATTTAATTTACAAGTTTGTTGAGGTATGTATACGTGTCGAAAAAGTTAAAAAAAATATAATCTGATCAAGTCTTCTTATATACATGCATATTTATAATTAATACGTATCATTAGAAAATCAATCAATCTTGATTGATATTGATTATATATATATTTGTTAGTTATATATTCAAACAAAACCTACCCAAAAACCAGTTTCAGATGCATACTACTGTATCTTTGTATAATAATGCCCACCTGCGTATTATTTTGAGTATTTCAAGTACGCACATATACGATATTTTGAGTTAAAGGCTTATCGTTCAATATAAAAAGATATTTACAATTGGTTTATATATACTGATCCAAACATGCGTGTTATTTAAAGATGAGTATGAGCATCATTTCAAAGCCATGCATGTTATTTTAAGTTATACGATTTTTGAAATAATGCTTATTGGCGTTATTATACAAAAATACAATATACTATTGAGGCAGGATGAACTATGATGGGCTTGAAGAAAATATTAATAAACATTGTTTATTATGCTAATGGATTGGCCAACTATAATGGGTTATAGTCCAGTACTGACTTCAATGAAGTTTACAAATAGGGCCAATAGAGCTCTGAATAGAACAAATGGATACCATTCATTAGCGCTCCATTTGCGGACTCCATTGAAGCAATTAAAATTTTAATTATGCAGAAAAAATTTAATTATGCAAAAAAGTTTACATATCAGGCTAAATTACTATAAAAGTTTATATACAAGATCCGGGTCTGTTTCATTCCACCAATTTTTAAACCCTTTAGTAGACCTAGGGTCTACATAATACTCACTCAGAGGTTATATCATAAAAAGAAAAAATTCAAAGTACATGTACACTTTATATTTTTAATAGGCATTCTACTATTTAAAAAAAACTATATTTAATTAATAAAGATTCTGTGGTTCGACCGAGTCTAGCTCATGGTAGATCTACTATTTTGGAGAATCTTGTATATGAACTTTTATAGTATATATAAATCGAAGAAGTGATATATATATTTTTTTTTATGTAAACAAAAAAAAAAAAAAATAACCAATTAACATATGTAATACATCAATTAATTATTTTTTTATTTAATATTTGAT